AAAAACTTCTTGCACCCATCAATACACAGCATTGGCGCTCCATCACAAGAGAAGAGGCGTTGGATGCAAGAGGCATCACCATCATCATCAACCACTTGTAAATACTGACTCATCACCATTGTAAAAACTTCTTGTAAATAATACCATTGTCAAATAGAAGCATTACATAACGTATCGTTTATTCCGATAGCACCAAATTGTAAAGTATAACCACAATTCGCATTCTGATTTCTTCCCCGAATAGGATCCATCAACCCGATCAACCGAGTCGATTTTGACTGAGTCATTCAATCATTTTGAAACAATTAATTTTCGCCACACACATCTAGTACCACTGCGATTGCAGTTTGAATTTGATTTCAACAACCCCTGCATGAGAAATGTCTGATCAACATTCACAACACACTCCGCTCAACAATAATTTCAACAACAACCGACCATCCATTCCAATCTCTTCGAATAATGCCACTGGAAGCAAGCGGGGTGGTGTTCTAAAACACTCTCCACCAACTCCAACATCAAACTTTCAACAGCATTTCCCGACGACACCAACTTCTACCACCCTTCGGAAGCCACCTCCATCTCCCATTCAGACACCTTCTTCCTCTGGAAACAACATGTTCAATTTTCAACCTCCCAGTAACACCTTTGTTGGTAATGGTGGAGTAATTGCTCCGAATAGAGGTGCAACAACAACAACAACCTTGAACACATCCTCGGCCCAAAATGTTTCAATTTCGTCTCGTTTGAGCTATGCATCCATTGTCACCAATAGTAGTACCAGTAGTAGTAATAGTAGCAACAGTATTGCGAATGTCATGAACAGCAGTAGTGGAGCAATTTTGAGAGAGGATGATCTTGACGATTCAAGCTCTCTCTATTCCAAGTTTTCTCATAATCTCAATAGTAATGGTCATCAACAACCTCCTCAACAACCTTCCTCATTGAAAGAGTACTCTTCCGAATTCACACCTCTCAAACAAAAGAGTTCGTCCAATGCAATGGTGGCCACCAATTTGGACAATAAATTGGAAGTGTCACCACCACCGCCATTGGCACTACAGACAAATGCCTCAAACCCTCTTTCAAACACACCAACAGGAGAGCGAAAGAAAAAACTAAGAAAAAGTGGATCAACATCGTCAGCCTTGTCCACACTTTTATCGCCAAATGCAACAACGAATATTGGAATCAATATTCACAACAATACTGCAAACCCTTCATTGAACAATGATTTACAACACAAAAAAAAGAACTCTATTGCAGATGTTGATTCCAATGACGAGGAGGAGGACGAGTTCATTACAGTGGAGTCTCCTACATTTGCTCTTGCTCCCTCAGTTGTTAAGAAACACAAAATGAAGCAGCAAAAATCGGGTGGAGGCTCCCTCATGAGCAAAATACTTTGGAGATTACGAACGATTTATTAACCTCTATTGAACAATCCATGGAAGATCTTCTTGATAGTGACAACGTGGAATATAATTTTCCTGGACATATTTATGGAGGAGGTATTGGATCTGACGGAGAAACTTCCACTCCTGTTACTACAACCCAACAGCCAACACATAATCTTCCTCCATTCATGTTTTCCTCCACTAATAGCAATAACTCAATGAGATCAGGCCCATTTCATTCAACCTTAGATCTCAACATTCCATACATTTACACAACAAGCGAGGAAGAGATTGAGATTTCTACAAATGGTTCAATTTCAACAAACACAACAAGCACCTCGTTGGAGGAGTTTCAAAGTGGAATTATTGGCTCAATCACTCCAACCACCATTATTCAGTCTCCGAATAACAAAAATGCAACTCCTTACACTAACAACCAAGCTAGAGCCGAGTCTAATAGAGGTGAGAATCAGTCAACACCTCCAACATCACCTGGATCTCCATTAGAGAATAAGACCTTTGCTGCTGTCAACAAGGAACGTACAGGAGTTCATGCATCACCAACAAGTAAGGCCTTACCGAAGGTTAAATCAAAAGCCGTTCTGGAGTATGAAGACGATGTCACATCTGATTCATCTAACTCCTCAACAGATGAAGAATTGTTTTCTCAAGAGAGAACAAACAGTAATGGTAGCAATAGTATCGACTACTCTCAATGTTCAACATTGCATGATATGAATGAAATATTCGAAAAACTCTTGAAGAATATGAGAGAGACAAGAAGTTGACATCTGAGGCACAATTTTTCATTGCAAACGCTCCAAGTTTTCAATCTCTACTGTTTGCATTGAAAAATTGAAAGAACAATCTCTTCTACATCATGAAAATTCTTCAAAGATCCGATCCAACATTTTTCAATCCTTGAAGAGGAAAATCAAGGAATTGAATAACAAATATCAAATGCAAAGCATTGGAGTTAGCTCAAGCAGTAATTCTAGGAAGGAATTGGATACAGTGTTTGATATTTGCAACTTCTTACTCAATGAAGACATTATCTACAGCATGATTCAATCCCCTATTCTATCAGATATTAATTCGGAAAAAGATTTGGAAAATATGGTCACACTTTTAGAGAATATTCAATCCAAAATGAACATTTCCTTCAACAACTCAGTACAAGGGTACTTTAGGTTGTTTGATGGAACAAAGAAATGGCTCATTCATGTATTCACACACAACTTGAGAATAGTATTGGATTTTCAATCTCCAGGAACTTCTTCTTCGAATCAAGCAAGAAGATCTTCAACATCACTCCTTTCTCTACTTCAGAGCCAACAAAATACCATTTCTCTTGAGAAATTCATGAGATTTTGGATAGACTTGTAAGGTTAAACTTTTGAACGAATACTCTCATGTATTGCTTGATGAGCTAATGTTGACACCATTTTTCGTTTCCTTAACTTCTTTCGACTTTATAGAGCACATGGGTAAATTCAGTGGTAGTCAGTTTTCCAACAAGTTGAGATCCTATATCATTGACAAATGTTGTCAACTAATATCTCAAACGGCAACAAGCAAAGACGCCAGCCTTCTTTTGAGCTCATCGAATCAAAAATTGAGGATGCAACAGTACGCTATGTCTATCTCAAGACCTTACTATTTGCAGCCAACATCCAACACAGTTATGAGAGCATTGTGAAAAATCCATTGTGCTATTATTATTTCAAATTTGCCAAGGTCAGTCAAAAGATCGCTGATGAAAATTATGTAAAAATAGAGAAAGAAGTATCGGACTTGATGGATATTTATTTCAAACTAGTTTTTCAACTTTTAGACAAAACATGTACCATTTCTACTTTGAATATGGTTCTAAAACACGAGGCTCAGTTCGTTAAGCTGATTTATGTTATGGGAGATGTTGGTTTTAACGAAGGCCACCTAAAGCAGCTTCGACAAGAGCTAGTCTCATTTAAAACAACTCTAGACGCGGTTCAAAATTTCTTGACCATGTTTGCCGATGATCCTAACTTCTTTGATACAAATACCGTGCTCGACACTATTATCAAAATTCGTAGAAATATGACAGAAATGGTTTTCAAAAAGGTTCAAAAGCAAGTATCAGATCTAATTCCATTCAGCTTTGAGGATTTGGCCTTCTTTTACGAACTTCGAACATCAGAATTCTTTTGGTGCTATGGAGGATCTCTACTCAAAAACAACGATGAAAAACATAGCATCGACTCCATCAAGACCAAATTAATACCCGCCGTCAGAAAGAGATGGGCAGACTATTATGCTTCTCTCGATACCCTTTCCATGAAGTTAAGCGAGTTTTACAACATTCTAAGAAAATGTAGATATGACACTAAGCTTGACAACATTTTTTCAGGAGCGAGCAGTCTCTATGAAGAAGAGTTGCTTAGAGTGAGAATGACCTTCAGTGGAAAAGCTTCAGACAGAAAGCCTTCTCGAGAAGATCTTGAATGGGTTTCGAAAAGGCACAATATCATTAGAAGCTATGAGAGCATTAATTTATACAGATCATATTTACCATCATTAATTGCTCTTGTAGAACATTTTGAGCCTTATTTTTCTGTGGATTTGAAAAAGGATCTAGATTACATCCAACTCAAAAAGAAGCAACCATTTTGAACAGCCAAAGCCTATGGGAAGAACAAACATTATCCATGTTTGAAAACCAAAGAACAAGTCTTGATTCGTTGTCTTTTGCCAAATTCTTCAAGAATTTTTCTGATAATCAAATGTCATTCATGAAGTTATTGAGTGACAACAGTGGATTTTCCATAATTGATTGGCTCGCTAACTACAAATCAAACCTTGAATTTGATAACTTGCTAGAGGTGTGCAAGAGTTACACCGATTCTGTTAAGGTTCTCCAATCTTTGAAATCTTTGGTTGTTATTAGAGACGTTGTCTCAGAGCTACTTTATGGCTCCGTAGAGGCTACTTCTGTGACATTTACTGGCTTCACACAGTTCCATAGTGTGCTGACGAAACTTCCTATCGGCAGCGACGAATTAGTACATTGATAAATCTCAAAAGAACTTTACACTCCTTCTTGAGATGTTTGAAGAAAGAACACGAAGTGGGGAGTTCAAGCCCTTTATGATCTTGCTGCCATACTTGAAAGAGGCATCTTTGAATTCAGCCTTGCTGGACAACATGTAATCAGTTGTAAGGTTGTTCCTTCCTCAAGCATATCATCCTCATCACCAAGTAGAAGAATGAGCAATCAGCATCAAATCATTAGCATGGAAGGCCTGGTTGAGTTGAGAAACAAATTGATGTTGAGCGAGATACCAGACAACATTAACAGCTTGGATGATGTACATTCAAAGATCAAATTATACGTGAGCTACATTACATTAATGATTGAATTAAGGTCATCCCTGCTCGAGTTGTCTCGATCTGCTCATTTCGATTTTCAGGATAATTACTTTAAAACGATCAAGGCTTCAGAATGCACTTTTGAGGTCATACAAGACTATCATTCACAGGTTCTCCAAAAGATGACAGAATGGAAAAAATTGTTGAAGATTCTCGAAACAAATACTATTTCATTAATTTATTCAGAGCGAAAGAGTCTCTACATATCTTTAATTTGCTAACTAGGTACAAGGAAGAAACCAAGAATGATATATTACGAGAATTATTGGACATTCTTCAACTGGGCGATCATAACTTGACTGTCAATGAGATTGAAGCTTGTATGAACGGCATGCAGGATGTTACTTTCTCCAAAGAGATGTCTGTAGCCGCAAAGATGGAAAAATTGTGTTTATTCATTGAAGCTCTATTCAGAAATAGGAATATCAATTATAGAAAATCAGATTATACTATTCCCTCAGCAATAACATCCAAGTACTCCGTTGCCAACTTTGGAGGATTCTTCAGAATCATCAAGCTAAGCAAGGAAAAAGAGGTCATGGATGCAATCATGACCATTTATTCTGCACAAAACAGGCTTCCTTTAAGTGAAGAAGTATTACTATGCAACTCTCACGAAACAGATATTGAAGACATTTATCTCATTCTGAATCGGTGGTTCAAGTCAAGCGCCAATGGAAAACTTAATCACATATTTTGTATTGGGAATATTCACGAGTTACCATTTTCTGTTCAATCGAAAATGCTGTTACGTATCCAAGAACAAATTTCGACCATGGCTAAAGCATCAAACAATCATGCCAAACTGGTACTACTCAGTGGAGCAGACAGTAATTCCAGACTCTTGGTAGAATTTTCGCAATATGTAGATTCAAATTTCAAATTACTTCCTCACAAGTACATATCAGCGATTCTCAAGTCATATCATGGTAATCATGTGAAATATGTATTCTCAAATCGTACTGCAGCCGGAAAAACTCGCTACATACTTAAAGATATTTACACGAATAAGAAGAAGTATAAGAGAATTACTGTGCTTGAAGACTCGACAATCAGGGACACAGTATTTACTCTTAAAAGAACAGTAGAAAATATGGATAGAAAAGACATTGCTTTTCACTTTTCTTTATGCCCACTTGTTCCAAAGCACTTTAACTCTTTGTTTTTGAACTTTTTATTTGGGTAGAGTTAGAGATCATGACACAGCTACCATTTTCCATTTGACACCTTCTACTCAATTCTACATTGAGATACCTAACAGTCTTTGTGTTCCTATTTTGAATGAATTTATATATTTCTGTGCATTTTTACCTTCACTAGACATTACTACTGACGAAAATAGTTTGGATTTCACAAGCTATGAGCTGGCTAATGGAATGAATGATACCATAGAAATTATTGCTAGAGATAACTCAAAGAAAGTGCAGTTTGTCTGCAAATTTTAAAAGCATTTGAGGAAAATATTTTCAAATATGCTGCCCCTCATATTGCCGATTTTTCTCCTGATAAGCAAGCTGATCTTGACAACAGAAAATGTTTTAAACTTCTTTGCAAATATACTGGATTCAATTATGAGAACGCCTCATTCTCTGTGATCAATCACTTTGTTGGTAAGTTGTCCTGTGAATTTTTTATTTTTACATTCAACAATAATTTTCTACAGAATTGCTTTATGGACAATTTCAGTCTACTCTTAGATATGCATGTTTCAAAAATTGTGTCATGGAAGGAACCATGCAACTTTTTAAACATGCAATGATTGACTTAATGATTAGGTCTGCAAGAGATTTGACAGGCATCGCAGTTGAAAAGATACAATCCTGACTATGGCTAAGAAATACGAAGGTAAACCGTATACCGAGGTTCTGTTACTACAATATATTGAAATGTTCGAAAACCGAATAGGACGTTGGGAAGAACAATCTGCTCAACATCCACTAATTGTATTCTATAGGACCGAAATGGATGAAATTACAGGTATCGATCTCATAGGAATTGATACAGATAAATTGGAACTAAATGAAGAGTTGAAATACTCACTGGTTTGCAATGGAATCAACTTGGACGCTCCTAGAGCACTTTCACACGAAAGAGCTCAAGAAATTATTAGAAATGTAGCAGGACTTGGAAAAGAGGATCGAAACGAGAAAGTTAGAAACAACTATGTATTAACAGTTGACAATTTGAGCAAGGTGCTTGTTATTTACAACAAACTCAAATACAGTTTACCAACCATTTTGTATGGTGACAATGGAGTTGGAAAATCAGAGCTGACCAAATATTTAAGCTCTGTTTTGGGCATCAAGCTGAAACGTTTCGTTGTTAATGAAGGCCACAGTAGCTTAGACATTTTGAACTGGATTAACCCACTCATCAGAGAGGCCAAACATAACCCTTCCAAGGATGTGATTGCATTTTTCGATAGAGTGAATACAGCAAACAATGTCGGATTGTTCAAGGAGCTGATATGTGACCGAGTTATCAATAACCAGGTACTTCCAAAAATCTCAAAATTGTTGCTTCTTGTAATCCATACCGTCTGAGAAGATATGCAGGAACTGATGTAGAACAACCTTCTTCTCAAAAGCTTGATATCCTTAAAGAAAATTTAAGAAATCTTCAAAAGACTACTGGGCTAGATATTCAAGCCTTTGCTCAATGCCTTGTTTACAAGGTTTATCCTCTTCCAGTCTCTTTACTGGATTCAGTTTTTAGCTTTGGGTCACTTAAAAGTGACATTGAGCAGTTGTACATTCGTGCTATATTACTAATGGAAATTAATCAGGAAGACAATACTAGGTCGGCAAGATTCTTTGATTGCTTTACAGAGCTGATTTTCATTTCACAAAACTTTATAAGAAAGGTATACATGGAGCGCAGCGCTGTAAACTTGAGGGATGTGAAAAGATGCATTAATTTGTTTAAGAGCTTTTATCAATCTCTTGCAAAGAGAAACTCCTTGGATTCAGAATTTTATTTAGACGAGTCAAATTTCATTATTAAGAACTCCATACTACTTGCTCTGGGTAGTTGTTACTATTACCGACTTACTGCTCGTAGGGAAGATTTCGTGATAGAAATTGAAGACTATCTCCTTTCTTCAAACAAATCTAGTACATATTTATCCTATCAAAAGGCGATTTTATCAACACACTCAATGAGGAACAGCGTTTTTATACAATGCATTTAAATATTCCAAAAGGTGTAGCTCTGAATCAAGCTTTAAGAGAAAACATTTTCATGACACTTGTTTGCGTCTTGAATAGAATTCCAATTTTCATCAACGGAAAAAGTGGAAGCTCCAAGTCATTGTCCTTAGAAATTCTATCTTCAAACTTGAATGGAAGTGCGAGTGTGAATGCGTTTTTAAGATCTCTCCCATCTCTTGAAATATTCACCTATCAATGTTCGCAAATGTCAACACCTGAAGATGTTAAGAGCTGCTTTGAATCAGCAAGAAGATATCAGAAAAATTCTCCCAACTCCATTGCTGTGGTTCTTTTGAACGAGGTTGGACTCTTAGAACATTCACCCTCTCATCCATTGAAGGTGGTGAACAAGGAACTTGATGAGGAAAGCTCAACTTATGCTCCCTCTGTTATTGGGCTTTCGAATTGGACGTTAGATCCAAATCTCATTAACAGAGCAGTTTATTTGTCAAGACCAGCTCCCTCCACTTTCGAGTTGAAAACAACGCTTTCTGGCATTGTCAACTCTGTACATTTGGATAGTAGCTTATTTTCGTTAGCTAAGGCTTTCCATGATGTTTACAACAGCCAACAAAGAAAAGACTTCTTTGGATTAAGAGACTTTTATCACTGTGTGAAATTCATCAACCGGAATTTTGATTTAGGTGCTTTGACACCAGAACTTTTAACTGATGCTTTAGCTCGTAATTTTGGTGGCTCCAGTAATGAAGAATTTCACACCATCCTTAATATTTTCTTTTCATGTGTGGGAATGAATATCGTTCCGAATAGAAAGTCAAAATTGGAGTACATCTCAGAAAATTTGACAGACACAAAAGCACGACACCTCATGCTCCTTACCAAGAATAATGCTGCTCTTTCCGTATTATTTTCTGATTTTGGACAAATAATGTCATACTCCAATTCTGAGGTCATATTCGGCTCATCAAACTTCCAAAATTGCGCTAAAGAACTCCAGATATGTATGGATATTCAACTAATTAAGCAGTGTATGGCCATTGGAAAAATTGTTGTACTGGTGAATTGTGAACAACTCTATGAGAGCTTGTACGATTTATTTAATTTACAGTATATAGAATATGATGAGAATCGCGTTGTTGCAATCTCCTTAGGAACTTACAGCAGAATTTGCTCGGTTCACAAAAACTTCAGAGTCATTGTAATTGTAGATCAGGATGATGCATATACACGATTACCAAAACCACTTCTCAATCGATTTGAAAAGCAAACACTTCACAGAGAGGATTTATTCGACAAGTACTCCTCAGCCAACTTGCGAGCAGTTTTATCAAAACTTCAGAGTTGGGTAAAATCAACCTTTGATGAAGATGAAAGACCATTTGTTAACACTCACAAATCTCTACTCCATTCTTTGGTATTGTCATTGGACTCGAAACAAACAGAAGACACAACGTTGCATGACTTTCTCCTAAGTCAATGCAAGAATTTATTGCTGTGGATCACCACAACTGATGCCATAATTAGAATGTCTTCAAAGAATTTAAGAAATAAGGAGTATGCTAGAATGTATTTCGAACAGCAAGAGCATAGAGATCTCTTTAAATTTTCTCAGTACTTGTTTGAAGCAATGCAGTCACAACAAAAAAGCGGCTTATCGAATCCTCTGATTTTTAATGGATACTTCCAAGTCTGTGTACTGACTTATTCGTCAGTTTCTATGGACTGCAGCTCTCTGATCAGCACTGATCGAGTTGAATATGTAGAGACCTTGAGTTTGAGCGACTTAAAATCAGATATTGGATTATCAGAAAAACTGAAACAATACTTTGAAAAGCCAGTTTCAACGCAAACTGCACAGCATGTATTAATCATTCAGTGTGAGATTGTGAATTTTGATTTGTTAAATCAAACCAAGTTCATGATTCAAAAACAAAGAACATGTTCTGGGATACTCAATACTCAGGGAAAGAATGTGCTTCTAATTGTAAATGTTGTTCCAGGAAAGTCCAACACGACTCAATATTTAATTGAGTTTGACACACCATGGAAGTATGCATTTATAGATGAAATTAGACCTATGCAGCATTCCATCTATGACATTTTAAATAGACCTTTTTCTGAGCAGATACAACTTGCAAATGTTCGACAAATTATTAGCAATAACTTCAGAACCGCATTGGCTCTGTTAAGGAAAACCAACACCAAAATTAATGACATTACTGTACTAATTTCGAGAACCAAAGAACTTCTAGACAACGAAGACTGTTGGAAAGTAATTCAACCAAAAATCATGGAGATTTGTTTTGACTACTTCTCTCAGAATCAGACAAATTATTATTCGACCTTTGTTGCTCAACACATGCAAGAATATTTTCTGGTAGCAAACACTTATTATTCTGCAATCCAATATTGCATTGAGAGAATATTAATCAAATCATTTACATATCTTCTTGCAGAATTGGAGAGAAACAACAATCTGGATTTGTACTTCTGAATTTAAGAAGGCAAACAGAACGGATGGAACATCACTTTGGCTTCGACTATTGAGCGATATGAAACGTCCATCCATTACGAACATGTTCACCAAGTATGATCAGGCCAACTCTTCGGCAGAATTACTTCGTTGGAAACCCATAGAAGTGAAAAATGATGGAAACAATAACAGAATATTCAAATGTCGATTCCCATTTTCCTTTGAAGTTTGTAGATATTTACACAGCTTGAGAAGCATTTGTGAGAGCTCACGTTTTGGTGTTACTACAGCACTTCAAAATCATATCAACATGTTGTATCCATTCCTTAATAACTTGCCAAGAGAATTTTCAGAATTCTTTATCTATGACTACATGTGTATGTTTGGAGAACAATGTACAGTTCTAACGAATGAAGTTCAATATGAAATTCTCAAGAAAATGCTCGAGACAGAGCATAACGATTCTAGCGATACAAATAGTCATATTGCCAATGCGCTTTCATTCTACTGGAAGCAAGAACGAAGATTACAGGCTTACTATGTACTCTTTGAGACGTTCCCCAAGTCCGTTCTTCAAAAGAAATTCTTACAAAAGCTCCTTGTTCCTTCATTGAGAGTGACATCCGTTGAGGAAATTGATATATTACTATTCAGCGTGATTTATCATAATTTAGATCCAAGAAAGGTTGAAATTTCATATGATCCTGTTATCACAAAACAACGAAGAATGATTTGGGTAAAAACATTGACTGACATCAAGGGTCCTGTAGAGGTATTAACGAGTTTGATGCGAAATTCTGGATCATCCATGTTAAATAATATTGGATTCATTCATGAGAAATGGAGAAAGCTGCAATTCTACAAGGAGTATCTTCAAGAGATTGCCATTCCTTTGGGAATTGTTAAAGATATATCCATGATTTTGTGGCAAAATATGAAAACCAAACCTCTCTCTTCGATCAATAGTTTGGAATTAATTCTGTACTTCCTTGACTTGGTTAGCAAGATTGGAGATAATCAAAAATCGACCACGATTGACACCAGAAAAGCCAATATTTCACGATTTTTCGAAATGTTTACCTCCAAGTTCCTTATAAGACCCATTGGTAAAGATGATGAGATTGACAAATCATTTTACTCCGTGTTAGTCAGTATTGTGAAAGGAGATAATGAAAAGTTTAAACAGGTCATGAAAAATCCAACTCAAAATCTTAAGGTTAGCATTTTGAAGAAGCTCCTTCTCAACAAACAAACCAAAGTGCTTGTGAATTCCGAGCTGAGAGAAATCGTCAAACAAGAATTGGGAATATCGGCCGTAGCATTGATCAATAGCTCAGCATCTCTCGACCAGAGCACATTTTACAGTTATTTGTGCATCTATGAATCGGTTCTTCAGAGTATTCCTGAGGAGCAAATTTCCAAATTAATTTCCTCTATTTCAGAGTCGATTCTTGATGTCCATACTTGGAAAGATATAATCAAGGAAGTACAATTACTGGCTGTTATTAGAACATCTTTATCCTCATTTGCAGACAGATTAATTGCTGCATCTGAAAAAGGAGAATCCATACGAGCCATCATTGGATCAAACACCATCTACCAACAGTTATTGACTCTTCTCGATAAGCCCAGTTTCAATTTCCTGCGATTGGTACTCCTTCGATTGGTTGTCGAAAGGAAGGGCAGAGTCTTTTTACTGAAAACTTTTCGTTCAAAAGTTGCTGAACACATTCCATGGATTTCATTGGTTCTCTATGGATTTAAATACACCGACAGTATTCCACAAAATGTTTTGATACATGTGTTGAATGGACTTGAGGAGATTGGAGCATGCGTCGATATGATTATGAGCTTACGACAGCAGCAAGGGGACAGTACCTCAAAAACAGAGTCAATTATCAAGCTCAAATCTTCGCTCGAATCAATCATTCACACAGGACAGCAAATTGATATTCATTCCCTTAAAAAGCTCTGCTACTTGGCAGTTATTGACAAGTGCTACTTGTCGTTCTGTGCTGAAACTTCCATTAAGGAGAGTAGAATTGCCATGTCTGAAGAGGAGTTGATCAGTAGAAATACTATTGACATTACCAAACTTAAAATTATCTACTCAGACATGTCTTAAAGGATGAGAAAGAAGTGTTGATGACCATCAAATTTGCAACCAATGCATTTGACGAGAATAATTTCTTCTATCTCAGTGAGAATACTTCTCTAGAGAATTTGACCCTAGTTCATATTGTACATCATATTTGTTCAATTGCACTTTCAAACTTCTCGTCCGATCAATTCTGGTGGATGCTTTTATTTGAACCTTTATCTATGAAAGACAAGTATTTACCAAGCATCACCGATGACGCCAGAAGTCAAGTCATTAACACAATCAATAATAGTGGTGGCATTATTAACTGGTACAGATGCTCAAAGGGTCATGTCTACTTTATTGATTTATGTGGCCTTCCTTTGGAGCAAGCTCAATGCCCAGAATGTGGACTTCCAATTGGAGGCTCTGATCATGTTCCTCACTATTCCAACGATAAGATCAAACATGAGGAGGATTTGGCACCAACAGGTTATGCTGTTTATGAATACTTTAAAGAAAGAGATTTGAAAGCAACTGTTCGTTCATTATCACCACTTGCCTTCAGAGTGGTCAGACTGATCATACATTCATTGCTCATCACTGGCTCCTCTCTATTCCCAGAAAGGGAAGAGGAGTACAAGGCACTCTTCCACAAATCAATGGATACATCATCCATAACCAATCTTCATGAATATCTATTGTCACATATTAGAAACGATTGGAGTATTATTGTTGAACTATTGGGAGAAAATAATGAAGAGAAGGCAAGCGTATTATTGTTCAATATTTTAGAGCTGTTCAGTTATTCATCAAAACAAATGGAACTCAAGAGAAAATCCAATACAAAACAACCTGGAGTTGCTTCGAGAGATTTGTCTACCAAGTCTGGAAGAAACGCATGGGAAAATCACTTCAATGGTTGTGTGTCTATGGTGGTTGAAAATGCTACAAAGAAGTATCAATTATATTTCAAACAATTAGACAATTTCCAAAAGAGAAGTCATGATCCTGTCACTAATGTATTACTATTCTCACCAGAGTCAACCTCACAGCCAATATTGCCTCTCACAGATCCTATTAGTCAGTTATGGAATATTAAGGTACCGATCACCTATGAACAGTTTAAGCTTGCCTTTATCAATGACAGAGTAGAGCAGAAATATCCAATTTTGAATCTCTTTATTCAGAATGAGCCAATGCTCTACGCCACAAGATACATTCCTCATGTGATCAAGTGGCAAAAATTGATCATGTCCACTTTTCTCGAAGAATAGATAGACACTATGCAAGAACTCGCACCGTTCGAGACGTGTTATCAGAATTTAATTCTGCAATGGCATTATCTCCAGTCATCTTACAAATGGGTTCAGACAAGAAAGCATCAATTGAAAAATTATTTGAAGGCTGGGCTAAAGCATTTAACCATAGCTGGAAATTTATTGATCGCTACAAGTGCTTGCCTCTTCCTAATTGGTGTAGAAATATTGTCATGACCAAGGATACTCCACTCTCATTTTCTATTCCGGATGAGACGGGTCAAGATGAAGGCATTTGTTCGCTTGCTGTGACACAATTTTTAATTGATAAGCATAATGAAGTGATTGAGAAAGTTGGAAAACTATTCAATAAGAACGTGGAAAACACTCCAATTGAAATTTCGAGCCGTTTCGTCTCCAAACATCATCTCATTGTATTTAACATCGAAGAAGAGTTGGTATCAGTCATTGCAGAATCGAAATTAAATGAACCAACATTGACTTCCAACAATACTAATGGCGACAAGCAAAAATCAAGTGCAAGACACAAATTTGATTATGAAAGAATTGAGCAATTTATTTTGACAAAATACTTGTCAGGAAAACCAAAAATCAAGTTAGAATTGGAAGGGTTCTTATTCTTAAACGAAACAAGATACTCGACTGGTTTTGGAGATCAAATTGGAGGACCTGTGAGCGAACTTAAACGAAAAATCAAGCAAGTGGAAATTCCAACAGATATCAAACAAGCGATCATTCTAGAGATGAGAGCCAACGAAACTAGTTTAGACATAATCCAAGCCTGTTTAAGACAAGTGGAAGAATGTATCTCTTTCTTGCAAGCTATTTCAAGTTCTAATAATTTGGAAGATGTGGAAAAGATGTCCATCACAGATTATTTACATAATATTTTACTTGTTGATCCATCCACCACATCCAATCAACCATTATGTAATATTTCCAATATCATGATTCATGTGAAGTTGTGTCACTTGTTGTCATTATGGCAATTATTAGAGAATGAGCTTTCACCAGGATCTACAATTGAATCCTCCATCATTTCAAACAGGTACAAGCGTGCCATACCGTCATCTCTTCTCAACCATTTGAAAGAATTCAAAGAAAAACTCTCACTTACTGATCTTTCAATCTTGACATGCTCCATCAAGGAATTATTACTCTCATACTTTACCAATGAAACGTTAGATTCAGAGATTCCTCTCAAGCAAATGCTAGAAATCACTCCTGCTGTGGAGAACATGGCACAAGTTTCCAAACAAACAGACAATGCTGACAGCAACAGTGGAGGTAAAAAGCTTGGAGATTTCAAGTGGTTACAGTTACTATCTGATGAATTGAAAACAGCACACTTGTTTGAGGTTTATTGTCAACTTACTAACAGTTCGCAATAAAGGTGTGGAATGAGTTTTTGGAGTTTTGATCGAATTGAAAAAAATGATTTCTCAGCAACACGGTGAAGAAGAACATACCATCATGGATCTCATTGATTTTGAATCGAACAACAAGACTCATTAGGACTTTCTTTTAACCATATTGACAAAGAAAATCAGAATTCAATCGTTACACGTCACTTCCTCATTGTCATTTGATTTTACGGCTCCTTTTGATGTGGCCATCTCGTATAATTGTAATTGTATTTTGATCAATCGATCAAGGCACACAGACTATTGAAGTTTTTGATTTGAAAACTCGGAAACACACAAATTCTCTTTCTGTGGAAAACTTTTTTCCAAATTATTTGTGCATTGAAGAAAATTATGATGGACATGGGCGTGATGCATTGTTGATCGGTCGTGAAAAGCCAACTGTTCCAACCATGACCTACAGTGTTTGTAAGATAGACCTTCATGAATTTCTTTCGAATGGAGATCTTTCAATTCCCTTCATTTGGGAAAACAAGTTATTTACAAGAGCACCTTTAGGAATGTGTATTGTGACTAAGGCACAGCGAGAGTTAGTCGTGTGTGATCCGGGAAATTGTTTTTTAAGAGTTTTAAATTTAAAGACAGGAGAGTTGACCAGAAACATTGAAATTGGTCTTGAGCCATGTGATGTTTGTGTTGTATCCGATGAGGAGTTGGTCGTATCATGGGCCTACTCCAAAGCTGTTGTGAAAGTGATAGCAAAAAAGAATTCAGAGGCAGCAGATCTTTACCTCTTGTGTGGAGATCGCTCAAGATTAGAGCACTTTGTGGAAGCTTATTCGGTTATTTTTGACTCACAAAATAACCAATTCATTGTTTCTGATCCAGAATTTAACACTTCAAACTATTCGAAAGACCCTAAAGGAATGCTTCAACTGTTCTCACGTCAGAGAAGACCTGTTAAAGAATATGGAAATTCATCGAGCAGAGATAGCTTACTGAAATTCCCTAAAGGACTCTGTTTGCATAGGGAAACACACGAACTATTTGTGTGTGATTTCGGTGACGCTCATGTCCTCATTATTGAATAAGAAAGAATTCGTGTAAAATAAATTAATAAATTAAATTAAAGTATGGCTCATTCGATAATTTCGAAATTTAATTCTGTATCAATGATGGCTAATCCAATTTCTTTGAGGGGAAGCTTTTTAACTGCATTCACAAACCAATAAACAACATAATGCATGAAAATGGCAAGAGTGGTGGCGAAAACATAGAATATGGTGAATTCAACAACTCCCCAAGCTTGCATAAATGGGTAAGGAAAAGTGCCTTTCAGATAGCGTGTCAAACCTGTGAGAGACAAGTAAATGACAGGAACAACACAAATCAAATAAAACTTTCGTGTCCAAAAACCATCAAGTAAATCAGTTCGCGATCGAACCACTATCATTTCAATTAACACAATGACCAGAGGTAGAGTGTGATGAATATGATTCAATCCATCTGGATAATAAAATCCTTTGGGCACCATATTCTCAGGATTTAACAAATAGATCGACCAAAATAAAATTACAGTAGCGACCGACATGATAAAAGTCAAATGAAAGAAATCACTCAACAAGGATCTCAACGTTTTGGAAAATGATGATCCCGACCTAACCAAATCCTCCACAACACATGCCAAAAAGTACACAACCAATGCACAAGCAGTCCACAATGTAAACATTTTTGCAATACCTGCCAAAGAAAGCATGCCAATGAGGTGCGTCCAATAAAATCCGAAGAGAATCGCTCCAGCGGAGGCAGCATGAAAACTCACTAAAAGCAATCGCAGCATTTTTTTTTTTGATGATGAAAAATGATCGCACTACGGTTCAAAAAGGGAGTTTGAAAAATTGTTGAAAGTTGTTGACATATTCACAACCAACCAGCTACTTTTCAATAATGAATTGCATTGTTTTTACCGATGGAAGGTCTCAAAACAAGTCAGTTGCCTTATTCCATGTTAAAACACAATGAATCCGTTTCAATTCGCTGTCCATTTATCTTTTATCCAACTAAGGTAATTCGCCAAACATTGTTGCTTTGATTCGACAAAAGTTGTTCCTTTCATAAGGTTGTTGCAATGAAGATTTGCATATATTTTCCATCACACCCAAAAAAAAAA